TCTAAGCCCACTGTTTACAGGCTTGCAACACTGATATTTTATATACAAATCCAGCAGACATAATCCACGTAATAACTACTTTTTCTTTAATAATCTGATCGTGGCAGATCCATAATATTTTGCGAGTGACAATGGAGGGTCAGTGGTTCGAAGGTCGGGATCCAATGGTCGAGAGAAGAAGTAGTTTAAATAAAAGTAATTTTATTCGATAACAATTTATCGTGTATACGATAAGAAGAATATTTTGACAAATCCACTCAAATGACGTAATCATGGAAAACGGTAAAATCGTTGTTATTACTACGATTTGATTTATCTATGATTATGACGTTTTAAAGTCAGGATCATAAGGGAAAAATGATATGTTGTAGAACTGATTTATCTAAGTTATTTGATGAAAAACTGGGAAACGGTGAATAAAATACATATTTTTAAATATTTAGAAGCCGGGGAAATTGGCGTAACCGAACTTTTTTTACACATTTTCCCCATAGTTTTTAAATATTCAAAAAACCTCCTTTATTTCTTTAATCTTCAATATGAGCAATTGATTTTTAACTTTTTATCGTTATCCTTTCAAGTATAAACAGGCCTTTAGGGTGTTCCATTAAGCTCGGTTTCCATAGAATCTCTCATCCTGTCTGAGACAGTCGCCGACAGTCGTCTGGGAGCGACGAATCGGGGTGTCTTCCCTTTTGCGTCAGATCATCTAGCAATGTGCCCTGACTCGTCTGCAACGCAATTGGCAAAGTTGAACCAGGTTCAACCTTCACGAGAGGGTGTCGCCGAGAGGGTGAGCGATTCTCCGGAAATTATGCTTTACCTATTGTTGGGATCCAGAGGAGGCTGTCCTCTCTGGCGGTTTTAGCCATTTTATTCTCTTATCCAAATAATTATTTTACAGAAATTTCCAACTTTGCCACCCACTGATTCCGCAACTGATATGCAATTAATTGGTATAGCCTAATGTACACTTTTGTACTTTTGAACAATTTTTGTGTGGCATGAAAGGTTTCAGTGGCGGTTATAGAATATATTTTCTGGGATGAGGGGCTAAGCTGT